TTATAAATATTTAGTGTTTATAAATATCAAAAACCTGAAATGAAAAAAAGAAAACTTGGGCATTGAAAGTTATATTGAGACTAATATGATCATGTTTGCTTATTCACACTCTGTACTACAACAGCTGAATCATCTGCTATCATTAATGATCTCAGGGCATTGTTCATTACACCATGCCCTTCATTAATATTAATTCTTCTAACTCTTATATTCGCTCAATGACAATCCTACCTGTCCATTCTGGTGTGTTGGGCTCATGACTGGTGCTTGGTAACGTTACTGCGCCTGGCTCTTCACTGTTAGCAGCAAACTGAACTAGAGCCTGCTGCTGCTGAAGAGCTACAAGACAAAGTTTGATGCATCAACATGAACGCTGGTTTGCAGACGACCTCGTTTTGTACAGCTGCATTTCTTTTTATATTACTCTGGCCTTTTCAGCGCCGTCTTTGCGCTTTCTATTATCCTTTTTTTAATCTTCTATTATCCTTTTTTTAATCTGTCTGCCTCGTGCTACAGACAGTGAGGAGAACCCGAACCCTAACCCTAGCTCAGATCAATCAGTTTCAATCATAAATACAACACCAGTCCTACTTGAAAGAAAACTAGCTGATAAAAAGATTGAAACCAATATTTGGTGATAATACAGCATAACAAGAGATTTACAAGCAATTTTGAAAAGCCAGTCATTTTTGACCAGGAACAACACAAGTGTTAGAGGGATTTGAACACAACACAAGGGTTAAACAGCATTGCCTTGAGAGAGCACCTGATTGTGTGTGTGTGTGTGTGTGTGCGCATGTTCATTCATGTCTTTTTATTTGTTTTTGTTCTTTTTAGTCCCAGTGTCCTCAAGGAGGATATAGCATAACATATGAATACAACTGAAAACTGTTCTCACACACACACACACACACACACACACACACACACACACACACACTCACACACACACACACACACACACACACACACTCACACACACACACACACACACACACACACACTCACACACACACACACACACACACACACACACTCACACACACACACACACACACACACACACACTCACACACACACACACACACACACACACACACTCACACACACACACACACACACACACACACACTCACACACACACACACACACACACACACACACACTGTGGCGGGAGGAGCACATGACAGACACAGTGGGTGTGGCGTCAGGCCTCGGAGAGGCTTTTATTAACTGAAAATAACAGAAAAATGCCCAAAACAGAGAATAAAGTGTCCAAAGGTAAAGAGTGTTCAAAATAAGCCGGGGATCCGGTGTCCTCGTCGTGCTGCGGGGTTCGTGAAGGGAAGGGCAGTGTTCAGGAAGGAAGGGTGCAGGTAAGGGGCGGAGTCCGGCGGTCGCACGCGCTCTCCTCTCCGGTCCGGGGCGCGAGGGGCGGCGGCTTCATGCTTCTCTTTGCTCTCGGCGCTCGGAGGGACTAGACAGCCCGGCATCCTGTCCCGACGGCAGTGTAACGGTGCGGTTCTCGTCCGGACCGCGGGTCCGGCAGCTCACGGCTCTGGCGGCGCGAGAGTCCCTCTACGAACCCTTCCTGGACCCACGAGGACACCAGCGTGCATGCACGGAGAAGAGACCGGAGTCTCGAGGAGTCACTCTCTCTCTCTCACACACATACACACACACACACTTACACTCTCTCACACACACACTC